AGCTTTATTGAATCTTCAAATATGGAGAAGGTGCTTTGTGGCTACCTTTCACACTACAGTATGTCTCACAAATCTCAAGAAATACAATAGGAGGGAGAGAGAAGATAGAGATGCGACACAAATCTCAAGAAATACAATAGAAGGGAGAGAGATAGAGAATTTTCGTGCTCAAAGGAGTCTTATTCGAAATTTCTCTGGCCGCCCTGAGAACTGTGCCCGAAGCTTCTATTTATAGGAATCAGAAGGGGCCAGAACGACCTATTTCGGATTCAGAACGGCCCGTTCTGGCTCAATCGTTGTGTGCAAATTTCGTACCTTGGAACGGCCCGTTCTGAAAACGGAACGGCACGTTCCAGAGTAGAAATTAACACAAATTTTCTCTTTCCAGAACGGCGTGTTCCAAATTTTCCTTGTTTGGAACGGCCCGTTCTGGTATTGAAACGGCCCGTTTCACCCAAAATGTTTAGGTGTTTTTAGTTACGTTGGAACGGCCGTTCTAATATTGGAACGGCCTGTTCTGGGGTTCAGAACGACCTGTTCCGATTTTGGAATGGCCCGTTCTAATTTTGGAACAGCACGTTCCGATTTTGGAACAGCCCGATCCGAGCTACTAAAACCACCTTATTTGGCCTTTAGGCCTTCTGATGTCCTATCTTTTGTTTGCTTGCTTCGGAAGCTCCTTCCCTTCAATACGGAGGTCCATTTCTTTGTTTGTGTGCCCCCGGACAAAATAATCTTCCTTGGTGGAATGTAAGCTAGAAGATGAGCTTGCACTAGCTTTGGCAGGAGGTCGCTATATGTGGTCGGAAGTTTATCAAACTTCTTCACAGGGTTGTCTGCGACTTTCCTGACTTCAAAGCGGAGGAAGATGAGGAAATAGTTATGGCGTTGACTCCTCCCTCCTTCTTCTCCTCATAGGTCTTCTTAGCTTCAAATGATTGGGAAGGCTTAGCTAGCTTCCCACTTTTCAACCCTTGTTCCACTCTTTCTCCAATGGTGATGATGTCTGAGAAGAGTGTTGTCGTGTTCCCTATCATCTTGTTATAATAGGGACCGGTCAATGAATTTATGAACAAGGACACCATCTCCTTATCCGACAGCGGGGGCTCTATTTGTGCCGCCAACTCCCTCCATCGTTGGGCGTACGCTTTAAAGGATTCATCATTTTTCTTACTCAAGGCTTGAAGATCGGACCTATCGAGTGTTAGGTCGATGTTGTACTTGTAGCGCTTGAGAAATGTGTCGGCCAACTGCTTCCATGTATGCACCTGATTCCCATCCAGCTGCATATACCAGTTGAGTGCGGTGTCAGCCAAGCTCTCTTGGAAGCAATGGATTAAGAGCTTTTCATTAGTGGCATATGCAGCCATCTTTCGGCAATACATGGTGAGATGACTTTTGGGGCAAGTCGATCCCACATACTTTGGGAACAAGAATCAATGAGAATGATATTCGTTGAATTTCTCAAGTGTCTTTGCATCCTATTTTACGTTTCATATAGATAACAGGCCTTCCTTGTAAATAATAAATAAGAATAAAAAGGGAAATCTAATCTGTGCGTGTTAGCCGGATAATGGAAATTACTGTAATCAAATGCAAACCCGACACATCAAATCGGGGAACACTTATCAGTAATTGGGGGCATCACATGCCTGAATCATCTCAAACATCGAGACTTTCCCATGCGAAAATGACAATTGAGGGGATAGGAGGAATGCTCAAGAATGGACGAATCCTTGCTTCTAGGGAATTACAAGACAAAACCCAATTGAAGAATAAAGGCATTGCATGACAAAAACCCGCTAGGATGAAAACCCGTAAAGGGCGTCCTAGGAAAAAATTAGGGTAAAGAAAAAAGAATCAAAATCCTGATAAGATACATCCTATGCAAAAGTTAGGGATATATAAAAATGTCTATCTGAGTTGAAATCGAAAGGTGGCTCGAGTATTCCCTTCGAAAGCAAGAATTCATAAAGGTTTCACTCCAAGTTCAAAACACCGACGTCCAAGTAAGTGGAACAATTTTTTGAAATTATCAAACCATCCATGACTCACTAGGGGGCAACCTTCATCTATCTCTCTGTGTATAAATCACGAACTCGGGGCATGCCCGGGCCTTCGTGTGTTTCTAAAGGGGCACGTGTAAATTGAAAGTATCTATTTTAAATGCTATAACACTCTTTGATTTCTCTTTTCCCTTTAAATATTCACTCTAGGCCTCTCCATCAACCCTTAACAAACAAAATCTATTTGCGACAAAGATGTTACTCAATAATAGAATTGAAAGGATAACAAAGGAATAATCAGGAATTCAAACATGACTAGGGTTTAATAAAAATAGGGCGTCCCACAGAAACGCTACAAAAATGAAATCCCGGCAGAAACCCATTAAGGGGGCTGGGCAAAATTAGGGCGAGATCTGCTATAGGGCCCTTAATCAAAAAGGGTAACCTAGCCAAAAGTAAGGATCAAAAGAAAAATGTCTGCTAGGAAACACATCCCAAGTGACCTAGGCAAAAGTTAGGATGTTAAAGCAGCAACCTGAGTTAAAAAACCGAAAGGTGGCTCAAGCGAATCATCCAATCAGAGCACGAACCCAAGTCATCACTCCACTTTCCAAAAAGGATAAAACACAATGATAGCTTCCTTGTAGAAAATACGTTTTGTTTGATAACCTTAAACACCAAAGCCTACCTCAACCAGCCATTCTTCTAAAAAAAACCCTTTTGAAAAAAATCCCTTCTAACAACCTTTTGAAAAAATACAAACATCCCTTTTCTTCTTTTCTGTTGACCCTTATGGCATTAAAATGGTACTGAAAAGATACATGGAAAATGCACAGTGAATACTCACAGAGGGAAGGCTAAGATGTCCCCGAATGAAGTTTAGAGACGTTTGACTACACACTGGTAATTGAGGAGCCACTGAAACCTGGAGTTCAAAAGAACATATCCCGGCAATAATCACAAACAACATGGATAAAAAGGAATCGTCAATATTAACCTTAACGCGCACATGTTAATTTCCCAACATTAAAAAAAATAAATTGAATTTCATGTTTAAGACTAAACACATGAGCATAAACTGCATCGCATGCATATGAGGTAGGGGCATATGGAAGGGCGTTACACAAAAAAAATGGAATAAATAAAAGAATCATTCCTGTCTTGCATTTTCATTGCATCCATGCATCCATGCATTCTACTTGTTATGGGTCAGAAGGAGCCATCAGGACAAAGCACTCATAAAAGAAAAATAGCCGAGCATGAGCCAAAGCGATGTTAAATGGCAACCCCAAGTGATTCTATGGGCCCACTAAGCAAAGATATATCAATAGTGGAATAGAATGGAATCGACTAAACAAGCAAGTCTATAAGCATGAAGAGGCTACCACGCCTTACTTCTTCAACAAACGAAAGATGATCCAAGAGAATGCCAAGACTAGGAATGGTTTCCTCACCAAAGCCAGGAGTGGCTTTTGAAATGATACTCATTAATAAAGATTCAGCAAATAACATCATCATGGGATGGGATCCCTCCACCAATGATGACAACACAAGATAAAACAAAAAAAGGCAAGCTTCATAAATGTTGAAAAAGTCGAAGCATTTAGAAAAATAGCAAAAAAAGGCAAGCTTCAAACATGAAAGAGCTTAAGCTAAACAAAAATGAAATTTAGAAAAAACTCTATCACAAGCAGG